CTCGAACATGAGGACGCGGTAGCGCGGGTCGAGGCGCGGGCCGCTGTAGTCATGGAACTCCAGCTCCACTGCAGCATCCAGCAGTGAGAGGTAGCGGCGCACGATCAACGCGTAGGGGCTGCCTGTGGGGACAGGATACGTGTTAAACACTGCCAGGCAGCTCCTGCTGCCCCAGCCACGCTCCTGGTCTCTCCAGTGCTTCCCAAACCTGCCGCCACCCCAGCCCTGAGCTGTGATGCCTGGAAATGGCCCAACATACTCATAACATTGGTGATGAAGGCTGGGGAGAAGACTTGGTGCAGGACGGTCTGTGGGAAATGGCTGAGCTGAAACATGGACATGAGGATGTTGACGGTCGCCAGGGGTGAGCTGCCGGCCTTCTGCTCCAGGATGGCCTCCAGCTTGGGGAAGAGCTCACTGTGGTTGGATGGGCGGTAATTCATGCGACTGAAGGGAAACACCAGCTTCTGGATCACCTGCGGGCAGGAGGAGAATGAGTGGGGCTGGACCAGGCAGTGGGAGAAAGGACAGGACAAACCTGTCCAGAGCTGGGCAGGAACAGGCTCTCACAGCCTATAAGAACCAGAGCACATCCTGGTTCCTGCCAGCAAGAAGAACCAGCCCAAAGGCAGAGAAGTGACATGGTTCCCCAGCACCGGGGCAGCTCTGGAGCCGGCCCCAGGCATCCTCCCAGCATGGGGTGAACACTCACCTTGCTGTCGAGCTGCTCCCCACGCTTTAGGAGGAAGTTTGCGATGGTATCAAGCAGCCGTGGCTCACGCAGCCGGTGCCGGGCCACATACTTGGCGATGAGGGCCATGGTGTAGGGGGTGAGGTTCTCTGCCTTCCTGGGGAGCCACTCTGCACAGGGCAAACCACAGCAGGGTATCATCAGAGAGGCCTGGCTCTGGCTCAACTCTGGCTCTCCAGGAGCCACTACAGCCTGGGCAGAAAAGGCAGTGCAGGCAGGTGGGATATAACAAGACCCAGAGCAAAGCCATCTCTCCTGAAACTCAGAAGACTTCCAAAAACCTTTAAGTTATGTGGCTTGTGAGAGGCTCAGGCAGAATCCCATCACACGCACACCAGGAAACACAGCTGGAATATACACAGAATGGGGTCCCTTCTCTAGAAACCCCACTGAAAACAGCCTGCTCCCAGTCTCGAGGTAAGGCAGGCTCCGAACCCTGGAAGGACTAGGCTGGGAAGTGAGTGACAGAACATCCACAGCACAGAGCATCTCCCGCTCCAGCCTCACTAAGGTGTTGAGCTCCTGGCACTCAGCATAAACCCCTGGTGCTGTCATACACTGAGATGTCCTCTGGGGCCAGGACAGGAGGCTCCAAGACTGCCAAGTGCATGGACCCCCCTGCACTGGGGCAGAGGCTCACACAGTGGACAAGGACCCTGCCTGGGCAGACCCTGCCCTCACCTGCCATGCTGCGGATGAAGCGCTCTTGGCGGTTCTCGTAGAAGAGCTGAGAGCTGAAGATGGCCTCCAGGGCCTTGTTGTTCGCCTCCTGGGCACACAGGGCCAGCATTTCATCCAAGAGGGCCAGCTCATGCTCCCGCATGGCACTCACTTGCCCCAGTGTGTGCCTGACGAGGCGCAGGATCTTGCGGTTGTTGATCAGCTGCTGGTCGGAGGCCGGGTGTCCCTGCAGCGCCTGTGCCCGCAGCCGGTAGTAGGAAAGGAGCAGGAACAGGGTCTGGGGGTGCCGCTCCTTCTCCAGGTGCCGCTCCAAGCTGCTGAGGCAAGACTCAACCAGGGGGTGGGGGCTGGATGGGTGCAGCCTCATCACGCTGCTGAACACCATGGAGACATCTTTCTGGTTGAAGCGGCCCAGGCGGCTCCGGGATTCATCCTCCAGCACTCGCACCAGCGGCGATTCCCCAGGGAGGCCTGTGACAGGGAAGGGATGAGGGATGTCCAGACTCCATCTCCCATCTTCACTATACACAACTGCCCTCGTAGGCTCAGGCACTATACTACAGCCAGAGGACAGGTCTGCCATGTCAGTGATCAAATCAAAGGTGGGAAAGGGAAAGGGACCATTCTGGCAAAGCCTGACCAGAATATGAGGGCATCTGAACCACAGAAAAAATCACGTGGAGCTGCTAGGTTATTACCCCCTGCTCTGCCAAAATGGAAGTCCTTTAGTTCATCTGCAAAAGTGAGGTTTATTTCTTAACTCTCCAACTTCTTAAAGACAAATAAGACACCTCTAAAGGTACTTAAAAAAAAAGTTATGGTTGGAAAACAAACAATAAATCAACACATCACTGAAAAAAAAACTGTCTCTGTGTGATGGGAACTAATCCTTTCACATCTCCAGCCTTCTCCCTTTTCCTACTGCAGCTTTAGTCTTTCAAACCTGACTCCTGGGAAAAATGCTCTCCCCCAGCTCTGGGTGTATTACTCAACCAGGGAAAGACGAGAGGCCAGGTGCACAGGAAAAAGGCAAAGGCCATCCTCCATGTGTCAGGAGAGATATGTCCAGGAGACACACGGAGCATTAGGCACTGTATGAGGCCCTGGTAGCCCACTGCTCTCCTGAGCCAGCTGACGAGATTTCAGTTTTCAAAAGGGCTTTAAAGCAACGGAGGCAGCATGGGGTAAGTCGCTGCGTTTTATCATTAATCAAAAATCAGCCAGAAGGTGGAAAGCGAAGAATTGGTCTGAGCAGTTGCTTTGTTCCTTGAAGAAGAGGCGGGTGAGTGTTTTATTAATGAGCGAGTGAGCATGGTGAGCAGGGGAGGGCGACTGACAGAGAACAAAGTGTGGGTCAAATCCAGAGCAGGCCAGGGGGGAGCCCAGCTGAGGGGAGAGGCGCCTGGCAGCCCAGAGCTAAGCGTCAACAAACACAGAGCACTGAGACAGAGCAGGGAAGAACAGGAACCTCTTCCCTCCCCCTTCCAGCAGAATCTAGAGTTACTGCATCAACTCATGGCCGGCACCAGGCAGCTCAGCCAAGGCCTCAGCCCAGCGTGCAGTGGCAGTGGGGGGAAAGATAAAAGCAAACAGAATGGCAGGAGACGTGTGCATGGGGCTGGCAGGAACCACTGGGGTGGGAAGGCATACACCATGGGGTACCTGCCAGGCACCCTGGTACTGCCAGAGCAAGCAGGAGGATCTGCAGGGCCCTTGGGGGTCCCCAGCCCAGTGGAGGCTCTGTAATGCCCAGGGGCTGCTGCTGAGCAGGAACCCAAATCAACTTGAACCCTCTCTCCTGAATATCAAATGCCCACCGACACAGGGCACACAGCTTGCAAAGGGTTTAGCCAAAATCTTGCATCACACGCTTTGATGCTCAGATGTTTCCCTGATTTTCAGGGCTGGAACAAAACTCGAGGAGTGGTTTATCCCACATCCTGCCAGGCAGCGCTGGCCACCACTTTGGTTGCCCTTCGGGCTGACTGCTGCAGCCAGCTGAGCTCCTCCCTAAGCAGCCAGTCCATCCTTCCAACCCCAAGCAGAGCCTCCTCCTCCTTCACAGGGCACAGCTCCATCTGCCACAGAGCCACCATCACATGTTAATCCACACACAAACCCAGACACCAGTGCCTGTCTCAGTATATCCTTCCTCATTCCATGGCAGCTGGACAAGCCAGCTTTCCTTTCACCTCACAGACCACATGCTGGCCCATGTTCTACTGCCCCACTGCCCTCCACCTCCCCATTTGCTGTGGGTGATCCCACAGAAGCCAACGCTGGCTGCCCAGACACTCACCCAGTGCAGCAGCGGCATACAGGCAGTTGACAATACTGAAGTTATCGAACTTGGAGCAGCCGCTGATAATGGCCTGACAGAGAGTCTGAAACTCTGGCTGCTCCAGCACCTGGCCAGGCCCACGGCTCTCCCCATTCACTGCAGCATGGCCCTGCTGCTGCTGCAAGAGCTGGCCCAGCTTGTGCAGGGCGATGGGGTAGTGGCTGGCAGACACCTTGCTGGGATTCTGCGTGACCCACCGCAGCACTTCCCCCACGCTGCGGGAGCGCTCAATCAGACGCTTCATTGTGAAGAAGGTGTCATAACTCATCTTCTCGTGGATGAAGTTCCAGCTCTTCCTCTTGCCATGGCCTCGAGTCCTGTAGGCATCTGGGGGGAAGGTGTGCAGCAGCCCATGGCCATAGGGGTCCAAGGGGAGCAGCACAGCCCGCTGCTTCGCTTTGCCGGCACAGTAGCAGGTGGGATACATCCCGGCCCTGCTCCGGTCACCAGCAGCCAGGCCCTGCAGGACTCCAGGCCACACACTCTCCCGGGTCAGAGCACGGAGCCATGGCAGCAGGCGCAGCATGGCGAGGGCAGGGCGGCTCGGGAGGCTTCAGAGAACCGGGAGACCCTGGGGATGAGAGGAGGGCGGCAGAGGGATCAGCTCGGCAACAGCCGGTGAGGGGTAACAAAGAGCCCACACCGGGACCCCCCACCCGCCCAGATCCACCTCTGTGGGTGCAGGGGTACCTGCCCCATACACTCCCCACTTCTGAGCTCCCTGCACTCGGAGTCCCCCTGCACCAGGTCCCCCGCCCCGCACAGGCCCCGTTATCCCGGGCCCCCGGCCTGCTCAGGTGCTCCCCCCCACCCCGATGTCGTCCCTCCGCCATCCCCATCCCTTCTCCCGAGGCCCGCAGATTCCCTTTGTCCCAGGAGCCCTAGCGCACGCAGATCCCTGGCCGGTACGGCCAGGCCGCACCGAGAGCTCCTCCACGGTACCGGGAGCGCCGCGCCGGGCCGGGCCGCAACGGGACCGCGAACCCGGGGCTCCCCCATGCCCACCCGCCGGGCCCAGCCGTGCCCCACAGTGCCGGGCCCTACATGGCGCTCGCGGCCGCGCTATGTCCCGCCGCCGCCGCCGCCCCGGCCGCTCAGCGTCGCCCGGACACCGAGTCCGCCATCTTCCCGACAGCCCCCGCCGGGCCGCGGGCTCGGCCCCGCCCCCCGCGCGGCCCACAGCGGACCCGCCAGCTCAGGCGCGCTGCGGCCCTGCGGAACAGGTTCAGCCCCCCAGTTCAGGAGTGCAGGCAGCCGCCTCCTGGCACCATGCGTACTCTGGGGCACGGCAGCTCTTCCAGGGCGCAGAGCTGTGCTATCTGCGGTACATGGTGAAGGCCATGAAGCTGAAGAGGAGGGTGAGGCCGGCTAAGAAGGTGGTGGCGGTGGCGGTGAAGACATGGCGGTACTGGAGCTGGAAGTACCAGAGCACGGCCAGCATCAGCACGAAGAGCGGCAGCATGAGGCTGCCCACGTTGAGGGCAGCGTGCACGGGGTCGGCGGACGCATGGGGGCCGGCAGGCGCGGGAGCCGGGCTGTGCTGGGAGATGTGGCAGTGCAGGACGCTGTTGTGGGCAAGGTGCAGGGAGGCCAGGCTCTGACTGTCATCGCGCAGCAACTGCCCCTGGTAGATCAGCCGCACTTGCTGCTCCTGCCCGGGGAAATAGGCCCTGCAGTGGGGCAGCAAGGAGGGAGATGTCACGCCCATCAGGACACAGTCCCCCCGTCCAGCCTCCCAGGGGCAGGTAGTGAATGCACCCACCCTGACCACCCGCTGAGCCCCACACCCGCACTTCACCACCCACTGCCACAGGCAATGACATAAGTGAAGGCGCTAGGACAACCCCACCACGGATGGTCATAGGCACACCGAGCACACACCACCCATACAAGAGTGCAAGTGTCAGCTCCCAGCTGCTCCAGGGAAGGCAGGAACGGTCGGCAGGGCTCGGGGACGCCCCTAACACTGCCCAAGCCGGGGCAGCCCCGAGCGGTGCCGCGGGAGAACCGGCCTGCCCTCCCCTCACCTCTTCAGGGACCCAACTGTGTCGCCGGGGCGCACCCGGGCCAGGCGCTCCGTGTCGTTGAGGAACTTCAGCCGCAGCACCATGGTGGGCTCGGCAGGGTCGCCGTCTCCCTCACTGAGGGAGCCCTGCGCAGGCGTGGGGCTGGCCCGGGGCCGCAGCCCCGCCGCCAGCCCGCCCGGCCCATCGGGAGCCGCTGCAGCCGCTGTCGCCGCCGGCGGGGCCTTGTGCTCCACGGGGGTTGGGGCAGCGCTCGGTCCCTCCTCGGGCAGTGGCGCGGCAGCGCGGGGCGGGGCGGCGGGCTCGGGGGCGCGGGTGGAGGCCCAGGCCAGCCCCAGCACCACGGCGACCAGCAACAACGCGAAGAGCACGGTCACCTCGTCGCCAACGCCCTCGATCAGCGTCATGGCGGCGGCGGTAGCGGTTACCGACCTGGGTGCACAGAGCGGGGCCGTCAGCCGGCCGGGCCGCAGGCGACCGGAGCCACGACTGGCCTAGGGCCCTCACCTGCCGCCATCGCGCCGCTTCCGCCTCCCCGTAAGCCACGCCGGGAGCTGTAGTCCCAATGGATGCATGCACAGAGCGCACCCGCGAAGCGCGCAGGGAGCTGTAGTTCTGTTGTGCGCATGCGTAGAAGGTTACCCCTGCTGGGCACGCAGGGAGCTGTAGTCCCGCTTCTTGGCTCTGCGTGTGCCGGAGGCCGGGGCGGGACTACAGCTCCCGGCGTGCCCCGCGCCGGGACTCCCGCTAATAGCCTTCCCTCACCCGCCATTACCGTTTGTGCGCTGATGGTCCCTGGTGGTCCCTGTCCCAGGAGATGCGGTGCTCCGGGGTGGATGGAGGAAGGGGCTGCGACAGCCGGGCCTGGGTTCAGGGGGAGGAAGGGAGGCGCTCGAGTGTTGGTGTTAATGTGGTGGCGCTTGGAGAGGCTTAGGAGGGAAGGATGGCTGTTGAGCGCAATGCATAGAATAGTCTCGACTGGGCTATGTGCACAGGAATTTAGCTACAACCGTCACCTGGTCCAACTGCCAGATCACTTCAGAGCTGGCCAAAAGTTAAAGCATGTTGTTAAGGGTATTGATCAAATGCCTCTTGAACAGTGGCAGGTTTGGGGCATCAACCACATCTCTAGGGAACCTGTTCCAGGGTTTGAGCATCCTCTTGTTACATAAATGCTTCTGAATGCCTGGTCTGAACCACCCCTGATGCAGGTTCGAGCCATTCACATGCATCCTGACCCTGGATCCCACGGAGAAGGGATCAGCACCTCCCTCACCACTTCCCCTCCTCACGTACAGAGCCGTGAGGTTGCCCCTCAGCCTTTTTCCCTCCAGACTGGACAAGCCCAGAGTCCTTAGCTGCTCCTCAGAGGATTTGCAGCCCAGCCCTGCCACCAGCTTTGTGTCCTCCCTGGGTGCATTAAAGGAACTTCACATCCTCACAAACAGCAGGGCATAGCACTTGCACACAGTGCTCCAGGTGAGGCCGCCCTAATGTTGAATACAGTGGACAATTCCCTCTCTGACCAGCTGGTTCTGCTGTTTGATGCTATCCAGGCTCTCTGGGAGCCAGGGCACGGGGCTGATTCACACAAAGCCTGCTGCTGACCAGCCACTTTTCCCCCGCCCCACCGACCAAGTCCCTTCCTGCAGGACTGCTCACTAGCCCCTTCTCTCCCCATTTATGGAATGTCCTTGGAAAGCTGTTAGTGGGACCAGAGGCAGCTGTAGAAACGCTCTGAGGACTGGAGCACCTCTCTTATGGAGAAAGGCTGAGAGAGGTGGGTTTGTTCAGTCTGGAGAAAAGGAGGCTCTGGGGAGATCTTGTCACTCTATAACTGCCTGATAGGATGGGTGTGTGTGTGTGAGGGTGGTCTGTTGTGATAGAACAAGAGGAAATGGACTCCAGTTGTGCTAGGGGAGATTTAGATTGGCACCTGGGGACATGGGTTAGTGGTGGTGTTGGCAATGCTGGGTTGTAGTTGATGAGCTTTAAGGGTCTTTTCCAACATAAAAGATTCTGTGATGCTAGAGCAAGGTGAGCAATCCAGCAAATTCCACAGGCAGCACCAGTGGCTGGAGGAGCTGTGCTCTGGTGAAGATTTGGTCTGTGTTACGAAGTGAGCGGAAAGTGCGTGCAGAGAAGACGCAGGGGAGCGGGAGAAGCTAAAGGCTAAAACTGACCAAGTTCCAGTAATCCTTTGGAGGACTGTGAATCCCCAGATGTGTTTAAACCCATCTGCAGGCTTCATGAAGAAGGGAGGTGTGAAAGATAGATGAAAAAAATCAGTGTGGAGCAGCTTTTGTCTCCAGCTTGGTTTTGATATATTTACCTTTATTTTGATATATTTACCAGGATAATTTACCCTAAAATCTCTCTTAGCCAATTAGTGTCTGGTGTGAAGCCTTAATGCTGGAGGCCCAGCTTTTCTGTAGTGCTCATAAAGGAACAAAGCTGAAGGGAGTTCCCTCGGTTCAAGGTCAGGTTGAATGGGGCTTGGAGCAACCTGCTCTAGTGGAAGGTGCCCCTGCCCATGGCAGGGGGTTGGAACTGGATGAGCTTTAAGGTCCTTTCCAACCCAAACCAGTCTGGTGTTCTGAGTCATTCTGTGGCGACAGTATCCCCTCCCCAGGGCATTGCTCTGGGGGTCCATCGCTTTGATGGCACAAGGTATTTCAGATGATAGACTGGAGAGGTGCATGAGATGCAGGGAGGTTCTAGGGAGCTGGATGGCTCCTGGGAATTCATCATTTACCCTTCTGGACTCTGGGTGGGAATGTCATGCTGGTTGGTGGGGCTGGGAGAAGCTGGGATCCTGTTCCCAATCCCAGAGGTGCGGCATGGAGCTGGAGGTGGTGATTCTCTCAGCTGCCTCCTCCATCCTGCTCTGCATTCGTCATCACTGCTCCCAGCTTATCATTCTGCTGCAGCAGTGCAGGGTGATGGGATGTGTGGTGGGAGAGCTCAAGGCTGCAGGCAGCAAAGTGTCATACCAGCACTAGCAGAAGGCACTGCAGACAGAACATCTATCCTCTGTGTGCTGCTGTCTTGCAGAACTCGAGAGCAGAACTCATCCTGCCGTTGCAGGGAAGGCTTTTTTGACCTGCAAACAGCAGTGAGGGAGCTGGGAAGTGAGGCTGCCAGAGCAGAGCACTTGCTTGCACAGCAGGATGTAAAAATAGGCTGTTCCTGGTGTCCTCACTTCCCAGTCATCCTGGAAGCCCACGGGGAGGAATGCTTTCCGGCAGAGGAGGAGAGACAGTCCCCTGATGTAATTTGCCTCAGCAGCTACACTGCAGAGCGGGAAGCTGTGAATTCAGTCTTACACCAGAGCATCCCTGCTCACTGTCCGCATGTCAATGTCTGTACTGGGAGCTGACTCCTCTCCCTGAAGCATCTCCCTTTATCATCCTGGTGGGACCAAGGAGCCCCGTTAGTGCCTCCAGGGAAGCTCAGTGCCTGTGGGAGGAGAGACATGGGAGAGATGAACGCCTCTGCAGCTGAATCTGCTCCTGAGGAGCTCCCACCAACAGCACGAGGTGTCAGCCCCGCTCAGAGACATGGAGACGTGTTGTGGGGAGAGTTGGGCTGGAAAAAGGAGCTGGAGGGTGGGAGTTGGGGGTGCTGAGCTGCAGCATTGCGAGGTGGGGATCCACGTTCACAAAGGACTGCGGAGAACCAGCTCATGGGAGACCCCATGCTCATCACGAATGAGGGGTCTCTGGTAAGATCCTGGGAAGCTGCCCTGCAGCACAACACTGTCCCTCACGGGGAAGGGCTGGAGGGGTCTCAGGGCTGGAGGACACCAGGGGTCTAATGGCAGTGGTGGGCAGCACCCATGGGTGCAGGTTCTGCTCACTCTGCCAACGTGCTTGGGCTGATGGGTGAGCCAGGAAGTGAGAGCAGGCAGGAGCCCGGCCCTGAGGTGCTGCAGGATGATTGGTGCACTGCTACCTCCCACAGCACTTTGCCTCAAGTGTGATGCAGGGGTGAGAAGCTGGTGTGAACAAGCTGTCCCTTCCCTGTGTCACTAAGGATGATGCAGAAGGCCCTGGGAAAAACCTGGGGGAACCGGGGGGGCTCAGGGTTGGGGCTGGGTTGCCGCAAATGGAGAGAACATCCCCAGGATGTGAGGGTGCAGGATGCAAAGGAAGCAGGAGATTTGAAAAATACATACACTGTGTAGGAAGCAGAAGCAGGATTTATAGCTTCCAGAACGTAGAAAATAAGCTGCGTCTGAACAAAATCATTTGAGTGGTTGTGACTGCTCAAATTTAATGCATTTTATCCAGTGGTTAATCACCCTCACCAATAAAATTTTGTGTCTCATTTTCAATGTGGATTAGTCTGGCTTCAGCTTCCAGAGATTGAGTCTTTTTATATCTTTCCTGGCTTGATTAAAGAGCCATTTAATATTTCCCTGTGAAAGTAGTTCTACAGTGTAATCAAGTCACCCCTCAATCTTCTTTTGGATAAGCTGAACAGATTGTGCTCTTTAAATCTTCTGCAATAAGGCACTCGCTCTAGCCCTCACATCATTCTGCGTGGGGCTTTGCAGGATCTCTTTGGATTTTCAATATTCGTCTCAAATATTGTTAATATAAAGTGATGCCCAGTTCTGGATGCCACATGTTTTTTTAGGAGGTCAGCCCAGGGAGAGAAAACTGCCCCTCTCCACTCTGGAGCCATGGCCTCTGCCCATAGGATCAGGGGGGTCTCTGGGGTTGTCAGGGAGGACAGGGTGCTGCAGAGGGTGCTGAGACCCCTTCCTGCAGCTTTGCCCTCTCCCAGGGCTGGAGAGCACGCTGAGGAGCCCAGCTCTGTATAGGAACACCGGTGATTGCCATGGAGCTGACATCCATGCTTGCCTTTCTTCTTTGAAACTGGCTGCCTCTCCTGTAGCCATTCTGCTTGTACCACAGCTGCCTGCTTTCCTTAAAGCCCTTTGGGAATCCCAGAATGGTTTGGGTTGGAAGGGACCATAAAGCTCGTCCAATTCCCACCCCCTGCCATGGGCAGGGACACCTTCCACCAGACCGGGTTGCTCCAAGCCCCGTCCAACCTGGCCTTGAACACTGCCAGGGATGGGGCAGCCACAGCTTCTCTGGGCAACCTGTGCCAGGGCCTCACCACCCTCACAGGGAAGAACTTCTTCCTCACATCTCATCTCAATCTCCCCTCTGCCAGTTTAAAGCCATTCCCCTTTGTCCTGTCCCTACCTGCCTTTGTCAAAAGCCCCTCTCCAGCTTTCTTGCTGGCCCCTTTAGGCGCTGGAACCTGCTCTAAGGTGTCCCCGGAGCCTTCTCCTCTCCAGGCTGAGCAAACCCAGCTCTCTCAGCCTGTCTCCATAGGATACACAAGGGATGTCTTGAGATGGCCGGTCACATAGAGGAAGGTCACAGTAAGAGACACATACACTGAAGGTTTCAAGTGTGAAGGTGACAAACCATGGTTCACCACTTCTCTCGAACAAGAGCCAAGCCTGTATCTGCTCAGTGGGAGCTGCGCTGCTCGAGTGCTGGGAACCATTCCCAGCACAGCCCTGCTCAGGGAGGGGGGTGGGAGAGCGCTGCCAGCACCAGGCACCCTCTTGCCAGGCTTGGGGGCT